GGGGGGGGGGGAGCAATATGGGCAATTTTTATGTGTAACAAGATGAAGTTAAACCTGAGGTATCAATAATCTCCTCGGAATAAGTTCTTCATGGCGTCGAGCACAGAATTCCCATGAACATATCTGAAAGGAATAACGATGGAAAAACATCAAGAACTGAATATTGCATACAGGTCATAAAATATTCTAAGTTGTTGAAAGCACAACCACAAACATGCTGACACGCAGAAAAGGGAGGGAAAGTATACTTTGCACAACCTTAAGGTCTGGAGAAAAAACAATTCGAAGTTGGCCATCCCGAACAACGCGAAGTTGCTCAAAAACACTTTCCTGTATTGCTTTTGCATAATCCAGGACGATCTCACCAGAAGCATTATGATATTCACGGGGCATGTCAAGATAAAGTAGCTCCTCCATAGTTCCACTTTCATACTTGATCTTAAAAAGCCTGGGAAGAACTTCAGCAGTTGCTTCTGAAATAGTAAAAAGAATATATATATATTCAAATTCCATCAAGATCAGAAGTCCACGAGAAAGAACCTTGAAGAAGTATCAATGAAAGTGCTCAACAAATGCTGTTAAAAATGAGCACGCAGCAGAAATTTAAAATTCAAATCAGTAGGCGTGATAATCGAACCTACCAAAGCCACGCCCAGGCTTGCGTTTGCATATTTCACAATGCCATGCATCCTGAAAATTTCAAAGAAAATGGTGTTTCTATTGCATCAATGACGAAATGGGGACATGTAAATAGTAAGCTTTCAAAGAATCTACGTTCAAATGATAATTCCAAAAAATTAAAGCAAAAAGAAAATTACATATTATTCCACATAACAAGTTTAAACAAATTTCTACTGCTATGATGCCAAAAAAATATAAGGACGCAGTGTATCTTGCAGAAGACCTGAGGAAAAACTCCAGTTGTTTGTCGCCCACATCCATACATGGAAACGCACCACTTCTTTTTGGCATGAGGTGCAAAGTACTCGTTAACAAATTTCCTCCAGAAATCTATGTTGTTGTCCTACAAACAAATTAGATTTGTCAGATAGTCCTCCCCTTGGACACGACAAAAGATTCAAAGTAATATGTTCCTACTTCAGGTCTGTTTTGCTGATGATACATGTAATACGTCAGACGCCGAGCACACATTCCAGGTTCATATCCTGGTTTTACGGGAGATCTTTGCGGAAGGTTCTGCTGTTGTAAATGTTGTTGCAATTGTGGCCGTTGAGGAGGCATACTTTTTAAGAGATGTTGTTGCTGATGTTGTTGTTGTAATTGCAAAAGCCTTTGTTGGTGCATTAAATTAATTTGGGCTGCCGCTGCCTGAGAGGACTGTCTAGACATATGCAGAAACTGCTGCTGTTGTTGATGTTGATGTTGATGCGAATGCTGATGCTGTTGATGCTGCTGCTGCTGCAGAAATAATGACTGGTCTGATTGTTGGGGTTCCATTTTTACTGGTGCCAAACCTCGCATCGAATGAAGTCGTTGTGATTCTAATTTCACTGAACCAAGATTTCTCAATGTTTGCAAATGCTGCTGCTGCTGTCCATGTTGATCACGGCCGGTCACTTGAGGCTCCAACTTTACAGGTCCAACACCAGTCAACCCTCGAATTGCTTGAAATTGTGATTGTTGATTGCTCTGAAGTGCTGAAAACTGTTCCATAGACTGTTGACTTTGATGGAAGTTCTGGGGTTCAAGTTGTTGTGACTGCTGCTGATCTGATAACAACTGGCTGCTAGAAAGGTTGGAAAATTGTGGATTCTGCCCTTGGACAAACGATACGGGGTTTGTCATAATTGATGCTACAAAAGATGATGAAGGATTATTAAAGTTCATTCCATTGCCAACACCAGAAAGAGGGTCTGGCTCTGCTCCGGTGTCAACACCACCAGGACATGGAAGTCCAGAATTAGGAGCCCCATTTCCAAATGATTGATTAAGGAGAGATGACACATTGGACATATTACCAAGCATATTCATACTATTGAACTGATTGCGGGGCGACACGAGTGAAGAAAAAGCCTGTGAAGGCAGCAGACCACCTTGAACTCCCAGCAATCCAGAATCAGATCGCAGAAGTGAGGGTGAAACAGACTGTGCACCACCACCCATAGGAGTAGGTGGCCCCGTAGTTACCATCTTTCCCAATCACAAGCTGAAATCACTCGCCAAAGACACGCCTACCTACAAAGTGAATACAGTTAACCTACGTGGGAAACTGAAACAAAGCTCAGCTCAGAGAGCATTCTTCCCAATACCCAACCCTACGGACTACAGGTTCATCATTTTGAAGCGATATAAGTGGATAAGTTAACGATTGAACACCATATGGTTCTGACCATTATAACCGCACTGTCTACCCGAGAAGATCGAACCTGGACGTTCCGTATGAATCTCTGTAAAAAAAAAAACATGGCAGATCCATTGTAAATTCAACATTCAGAAGAAAAGAAACTACTACAACCAAATCAAGAACACTGATCGATAATCATAATTTCATCAAAAGCACCCGAGACGAACTTCAATTTCTAAAAAAGAAAAAAAAAACAATTAAATCTCCAAGAAGAAATCCAAATCTGAAAACCCCATACACCACAGAAAAAAAAAATGATACAAACAACCTGCTAAGCAATTAAATAAAAACCAATCAATAAACTTCAGGTTCACCGCTCAAACAATGAACTCCCATGGTAAAAATCCCGAAGAAAGATTCAAGCAGAAAAACTGAAACCGTATGACATTCTTACGCAATCCCTGCTCATATGAGGGAAAAGAAAGCAGAGAATAGGCAAAAGTGAGAGAGAGAGAGAGAGAGAGAGAGAGAGAAACAAGTCGATCAAAGGACAAATCAACGATCCAAAACATGAAACAACACAACACCTCGCACGTCGGAATGGAAGAGCATAGAGGAAATGAATAAGAAAGGTATTGGTTGAAAGTGAGAAAATATAAAATAAAGAACATCAATAGCAGACCGAAATTGACTAAATTGTCGAGGCTTCGAAGTTACATCAGTAATTGAGTTTCCTTCGTCCTCCGCCGTCTCCTCCTCCTCCTTCCTCGTCTTCTTGCACCTGTTCTTGTCGTTCTTCCTCTTCTTCTTCCACTTCCTTGTCTTCTTCTTCTTCTTCTTCGTCCCAAAATTGATATCGGTGAGTATCAGATGAAGCTTAGAAGCACGCTCTGAAAATTCATGGAGGGATTCTCCCACAGAGGGCACGCCCTGCAACTTAGAGAGAGAAGGAAGGAGAGAGAGAGACTGTGTCCTTGCGGACGTCAAAATTATATTGGATTGGATTGAATTTTTTCTCCATTCTTTCTTTTTCTTTGTTCTGCGTCTCTCTCTTTCTCTCACTAGCTCCTAATGAAGTCAAATGGTTCATGCATACATGCATCCACACATCCATACATACATACATAACATAAAATAACATGTGTGGCGGTCCATGGTGCGCGTGAGGTAGGATTATATAGGTTGCGGTCCGGTGTCCCTATAACTCCCCCTCTACTTCGCCTAAATTACAACACTGCCATTCCTTTTTTATATTTTAAATATGGCATATGAAATTACATGTTTTTAAATTAAAGGAATTTTTTATTATTAACATTTAATTAAACCCTAAAATCATTAGAAAACAAAAAATAAATAAAAAAGTCAATTCTTTCAGTCTATTCAAACCCTTTTTTAATGTCTCTCCCAATTGTTTTTTTGGTCCCTCCCACTCACAAATATATTATTTTTACCTAACTTTTATTTTTATAATTACAATTTGTTGCTAACCTTTATTAATCTTATAATTACTCTTATCGTAGTTTTAAATTAAAATAATAATAATACACGAGCGGAATATGTTTTATAGAATTTAGATAAAAATTAAATTAGTTATTCTCCGTAGAATTTATTAAATGTGTTGGTAGACATTCTCATTCCCTATTTAGATAAGGGATTGAGAGAGATCGGAGAGAGATTTTTCTTTATTAGATAAATGAGTCCGTGTCCGGGCTTATTTTCCCATCACTGCCTGCCTAATTCCTCAACTAACTTACCCCGACCCTAGTGACTTTTTAAATTCCATTTTCAATTTTCATACATTTTCAAATAAAATAAAAAATCTCCCGTTTTTTCATTTATTTGATTTTTGTAATAACGATCGCTTTTTTCGCGTAATTAGTTTTGTGGTAATTAAACTAATTTATTTACGTCGTTTTGTTTTTGTGTCGTCATTGAGTTAATTCAACTATTAATTTATTAATCGAAAAAACTTAATTACTCTCTTGTTTTATTAGTCGAAATAAACTAAAAAAAATTATGTTATCAATTTTGGTTAATATAATTTAGATGAGAGGTGAAATTATTTGATTTTACGAGAAAGTGGTTCAACCTCCATTTCTAATAACACGTGAATCAACAAATTAATAGTTTATATTGAAAAATAAAATGATTATTTTTCAAAAAGAAGAATACGATGGCAAATAAATCACTCGTTTTCAATCGATTCTAATATCAAATCGTACCTCTTTAAAAATGATGCAAAGTCGTTTCTTTGATTCAAAAGTATACTAATCACTTCGTCTTAATCATTAAACTTTAAATAATACTCTAGGGTGAGTTTATTTATTTATTTATTTTTATTTTTATTTCTATAATAACTATTTTATTTTATCATAATTTTAACTTTATTTATTCGCTAATATTTTTTTTAATTAATTATTTTGTTACTATGATAATGTTTGTTAAATTAATCAACAAATTAATTACTTTGTTACTAATAACAAATTAATTATTTTGTTATTTTTATTTTTATTTCTATAATCAACCAATTATTTTGTTAAATTAATTATTTTAACTTTATTTTTTTATTTTTAAATTTATTATTAATTATTTTGTTACATGATAATGTTTTGTTCGAAAAATAAAAATAAAAAGTTATTGGTTGCGTGTGCAAGTTTTTTAAATAATTTCATGATGCTTGCACACCTTCCATTTTAATTTCATTTAAAGCCACAAATAAATATATAAATACTTCTTTTACTCCAATAAATATGAAAATATAATAGGTATAGAAATAGATATTTTATATTAAAAAAAAAAATACAATGCGTCATCGGAAAACATACTTCTTGATTCAAAAGTACGTCAAAAAAACATGACAATTATTTTTGTTAAGAATGATGCTCTGATACATGTTAAGAATGATAAACACACTGAGATTGAAAGTACATAAAAAAACATGGGCGGATCAAAATGGCTATAAGATAAAAAATTAAAGTTTTTATTAATGTTCAGAATCTTAAATAAAATACGAACTACCAACTAATACCTCAAAATAAGAAAAATATAAACTAACTAACAGAACGATACTACTTTTAGAGTCGAGATTTTTTTTTTTAATGTTTAAATTATACACGGTTTTACGTGGTGTAAAAATAATTTAATTTGGAAGATGTTTATAAAAAATTAAAGAGTAAAAATAAAAAATAAAAATAAAAATAAAAGGTTAAAAACGGAAAGTGAAATAGCGACAAGATGACTGGTGGGTATGGAAGGAAGGATATGAATCATTTCCAATCATGAATATTAGCCCACAAACATCAACATTATTTTATTTATTTATTTATTTTCTTTTTACATTTATACCCCTCCCCCGTTGGACGCCGCCCAGCCACACTCTCTGCCACGTCGTTCATATATATATTTTTTAAATAAATTTTTTTATCCTTTTTAAAAAATATATATATATATTTGTTAGGAGACGGCAAATCAGAAGAAAATTATTATAAAAACACACGTTTTTTTTTAATTATTATTTTTTTAAAAAATATTCTCTTATTCTTTAAATTTCAAAATATTAGTTTTATTTTTTAATTCTTAAATATCAAAAATACCCACAGAATTAAATATAAAAGTTAAATACTATATATAATATAATTCTATGTGTATATTTATGTTTATAATATAATTCTATGTGGATTTTATGCTTAAATATATGAAAGGCCCAAAACGCGAAAGCCCAATAGGAAAAAGGGCTGGAAAGCCCAAATGAATTGGGTGTTTGGAATCTTTATATTTTTATTTATTATGAAAAAATTGGTATTATTATGATGTAATATTGGTAGTCATTATTTTATTATGTCAAAATTTGAAGAATTAGATTTATTCTTTTAACACTAGAGAATATAAATATATATATATATAAACCGCTATATTTATTTATTGTCATAAATATTCTATTAAAAATCTGACGGTATATATTTTATTTTTTTCTGCTATCAATAAATATTTACATAAAATACGTGTTAGAAGCTATGACCGGATAACATTAGGGGTTGGATTTTAGGCGGTTTGAGTTAGGGCAGTTATGTCATTTGTCCAGTAATTTAGAATATATTAATTAATTATGATTATTAAAAATAATTTTTAACAATAAAAATGAAATAAATACAAGATTAAACAAAACCATTTTTGTTCCCAAACCAAAAAAATATAAACTATGGGTAGAAGTGATAAAATTGATAAAAGAAATACTAACCGGTTGCCAATTTGAGCTGAATTCATTTGAGAGAAAGAAACAAAAACAAAAACTTACGTCTCGTAAATAGCGTGAGTGTGGAATGTTAAGCATGTGTTGAGTAAGTTTAAAAGTGTACGTTTGAGGGATTTGACTAGGGGTTGTCGTTTTTCTTTTTTTGAAGTGGAATTTGAGCTGGATGATTGAGAATCTGACGTCTGAGCTTCACTCAGTCCCTGATATATTTTTGAAAATAAGATTATCTGAATTTTACTCCGACCTTGATATATTTTTGAAAATAAGATTATGTGTTCGGGTATGGCTAGCTGGTAAGTATAACACGTGATCCGGGGTACGGTCGCTCGATGGTGGTACGCTAGAAAAGGGTGAAACCCTAATGGAGTGGTGATTGTTTGTTGTGGTTCAAAGGGGGGAGGAGGGGGTATTAAAGGCGAGTGGCCAACCGTTTCCAAAGCTGCAACATACAAACAAGAGGAAAAGACGCAGTGAAGCCATTAATGAATTGGCCTGAGATTAATGAAACCCCCTCACTTCACCTCCACATATCCAACAAATTATAATAAATAATAAATTACCCATTTTTTGTTTTTTCAATTTCACTCCCAATTCAACTCACTGCTACCAACCACTTAATCGAATATAGTCTCTGACTTTCAACTTTGTGTCTATTTATGTGAGGTTCTGTATTGATTTAGGATGAGAACGAAATATAGTTCGTAAGGGTGTGGAAATCTCATCTTAGTAGATGAGTCTTAAAAACGTTGAGGGAAATCTCGAAAGGTAAAGTCCAAAGAAGATAATATTTGCTAGAGGTGACTTGGGCCGCTACAAATAGTATTAGAATCAGACACCGGGCGATATGCTAGCAAAGAGGTTGAACCTCAAAGGAGGGTGGACACGAGGCGATGTGCTAGCGAGGAGGCTGAGCCCTGAAGGGGAGTAGACACAAGGTAGTGTGTTAGTGAGGAGGCTGAGCCCCAAAAGAGAGTGGACACAAGGGAATGTGCTAGTGAGGAAGTTGAGCCCAAAAGGAGAGTGGATGAGAGTCAAAAGGGAGTGGACACAAGATGATGTGCCCCAAAAGGAGAGTGATACAAGGCAGTGTGTTAGCAAGGAGGTTAAGCCCCAAAAAGGGATGGATTGGGGGGTCCCACATCAATTGGAGAAGTGAACCGGTGGTAGCGAGGACACTAAGCCTCAAAACAAGGTGGATTGTGCGATCTTACACTAGTTGGGGAGGAGAAAAAATCATTCTTTATAAAAGTGAAAAACCATTCGAGGAAGCCCAAAACAAAAAAGGGAAGTTAGTGGCGGGTTTGGGCCACTACAATAGAGGACAATATCGGGTAGTAGTGACTTGATGTGCAATCCCACGTCGATTTTGGAGAAGAAAGAAACATTTTCATAAGTATAAAAATCTTAAGAGGAAGCCGAGAGAGAGAAAAAAAGACAATATATACTAACTATAAGCTAAAACTCTTATTATATACTAGCGGTAGACTTAAAACGTTACAACTTAGAACCAAATGAATCTAAATCGAGGATTTAGGGAAGTTTGGGAAAAGAATAAAGCAAAAAAAAAAAAAGGCATAATTATAAAAGAGTAGGAGAGAAACGGTTGCATTAGAGACAGTAGAAAGAAAAAGCGGCAAATGTGCAAGTTTTTCTGCAGTGTCCTCATGGCTGCCACGTCCCCCATTGCTTCACTGGCATCGACCCCTGTTCCACCCCTCTCCCCCCTCCACTATATATACCCACTCCCCTTTCACCCATCAACAC